GCAGGTATGGGGGCTTAGGAAGAGGGGGCAGGTGTGGGGGGGCAAAGGCCTCTTCCCCCACCACAGTGTACACCTGCGCCCGCTGAGTGCGGCGCTGGGGGGGAGGGTCGGGGCCCTCCTGGCCCCTCTGCCTGGCAGCATGAAGCTGCTTCATGGCTTTGACTCGCCTCTTCTAGGCGCAGGGGTCTGCTGCCGCTGCCCCTTCCCATCTGGGTGCTGGCTGTGGGGCTGGGAAGTTGCCCCCCAGGCGCTTGGGGCTTTTTTTTTTGCTGGAGGAATGATGTGGCAGGGTGGGGGGAGGCTAGGATGTATTTTAACCTCCCTCCTCTCTGGTCAGAAGAGGTATTGCAGCATAGGGACGTATATTTTTCCTGCAGTGAGGCAGCAGTCTTATGTAACTCTGCAGTAGCGGCAGTACTTGGTTACCTCTGTGGGAAAATCTGAGGGAGCTGGCATGGCAGGTGTCCTGGGGGAGCACCTTGCCCCTCGGTGGGGATGGGGTGAAATGACTGGGTCATTTCATGGCCATAAGAAGCTGCTGTGCTTGCATGTAGGCTTTTCTTGAAGGAAAACAACTAGCTCCCCTCCATTTAGACATTATAATACCCCTGGGAACATTCTTGTGGAAGCCCTGTTAAGGTGCTGAGAGAGCGAGGTTTCTTCTGTTGTAAGACTTTCTGCTGCAGTTTTCTCTGGGCAGCCTTGTAATGTCTGCTAAGCAACTGGAATGGATGTCAGCAGGACTCAGCTTGGCCCTGCTGTGTATTGGTGGGGCTGGTTGGAGTTTCTGGAAGAACTAAATCTGTTATGTGCTGTGTTTTTCTTAGGTGAACTTTACAGTAGACCAGATCCGGGCCATCATGGACAAAAAGGCCAACATCAGAAACATGTCTGTGATCGCCCACGTAGATCATGGCAAATCCACCTTGACTGACTCTCTGGTATGCAAAGCTGGTATCATTGCCTCAGCCCGTGCTGGTGAGACTCGCTTCACTGACACGAGAAAAGATGAGCAGGAAAGGTGCATCACTATCAAATCCACGTAAGTTGCTTTCCTTCAAGCATCTTGATGATGTATATCTGTGATGGTCTGACTTCAGGACTGAAACCCATGGACCTTGGAGTTCTAGTCTTGTTTCTGATGTGAGATTGGAAGAAGAAACTACAAAGCCAAACTGTTCTGTAGCTTCAGAGGTCTATTTCCTTGTCATTCGAAGTACTAGGAGTGTATTTTTACAGGTGTTAAGATACAAATATTGACTTGTCTGTGCTGAAACATAAGTGCTGCCAACAATAAATGAAATACTTCCCATGTAAATGAGTTGCAGTCTTATGATAGTGTTAATTGGAATTGTCAGAAATGATGGTTTAATACAGCTCTTGATAGTCAGTTGCTAGTTCTTGAGCATATCCAGCTGAGGCAGCTGAACATCTCTGCCAGCAACAATGTCTGTTAAAACTCTGAGCACCAAAGGGTGCTACAAACATAGTTAAATGAGAATAAGCACATCTCCTCCTGGGAAAATAAGTAGGTGCTTCTACTGGCGTTACCTCTCCTAGACTGAGAATAGATAGCTTGTGTAAAGATGATCTTTCTAATCTTGCTGCCCTCTTTCTTTATTTATTTTCAGAGCTATCTCTCTCTTCTATGAGCTGTCTGAGAACGACTTGGCCTTCATCAAGCAGAGCAAAGATGGTTCTGGTTTCCTGATTAACTTGATTGACTCTCCTGGGCATGTGGACTTCTCTTCAGAGGTTACTGCTGCTCTTCGTGTCACTGATGGTGCTCTGGTTGTAGTAGACTGTGTCTCTGGTAAGACTTAACACTACTAGTCTTTGTGATTTGTGTAGTGGCTTGCATGTTAGCTCTGCAGCGGGAGTCACCTAGTCATCCTCTCCCCGGGGTGTGCGTACAAACAGAGACTGTACTGCGTCAGGCCATTGCTGAGAGGATCAAGCCTGTCCTGATGATGAACAAGATGGACCGAGCCTTACTGGAGCTGCAGTTGGATCCAGAGGAACTGTACCAGACATTTCAGCGTATCGTGGAGAACGTCAACGTCATCATCTCCACGTACGGAGAAGGAGAAAGTGGCCCCATGGGAAACATCATGGTAAGGAGCAAGCCTTGAGGCCTGTATTTAGAGTGAGCTCTATCCAGAAGTTACCCTTTGAGTCTTAAGAGCCTGTTAGCAGTGCTTCCTCCTTTTGGAAGGGAGGAGCAGTATCTGTTTGGAAGTCTCTTTTAGCATGGAGAACTCCAGTTTAAAGTAGACATTACTATAACAGCCAAGATAGAGATGTTGACTTGTCCTAGAGTGGGTACCATGTATGCCCACTTCAGCCACTCTGTATGTGTTGCCCAGTTCCAAAGCTGCCAGGGTGGCAACTTTGTGCAGCGTGGCAGCCACTCCAGCCAGACTGCTGCCTGTGGCATCCATGTCAGATCCATGCTGTGCGCAGTGCAGGTTCCAGACTGGCTGGAGTGACGGTCAGATTAGGTATGTGTGGGGACAGATATAGGGAAAGGGGGTCCATGGCCCTGATCCAGCCTGTGGACTGGTCCTACACCATATGTGGCCTACAGAGATGGATGAATTGGCTTAACATGCTTCTGAAGCAAAGGTGTCAGTTTGATTTAAATACTGTATTTCTGATCCCTTTCTATTCCTGTAGGAAGGGGTTTCTATTTACAGTTCAGGCATCTAGAACAGACCTTGAAGAGTGACTTGAGATCAATAACATGCTTTTAGTACAGCAAGAACTATTTCCATGAATTGGAAAATCAGCAGGCATTCGTGTAAGAGCTGGTCTTCTGGGCTGCCAGAACTTCATAATCTGGGCCTCAAATCCCACTTGATGACAGGTCATCAGACCTGGTAGCTGCTGGCTTTTCAGGTAGCAAAGTCTGTCTGCACTCATATCTGACAAGTCTGTATAATTAATGTCCCTGGGGCTTGATCTGTGTTTTTTCTTTTACAACTGAAATTGAGTCACTTGGCGTATTTGGCCAAAACTGCAGGGGCTTGCATGTCCTGTAGCTCTGAAAAGCTACACTTACAGAAGTCTTACGTCCAGACAAACGAAGTCTCCCTGGCTGGCATGCCATAGCAGTTAAGGTTTAACATCAGGTTTCTCATAGTTGGGACACCCTTGGCATATGCATAACTTGTGTTCAAATTCTGTCAGTTCCTCACTGTCTTTTGACCTTGTCTTCCAGATTGATCCAGTGCTAGGTACTGTTGGTTTTGGTTCTGGCCTGCATGGCTGGGCTTTCACCTTGAAACAGTTTGCTGAGATGTATGTTGCAAAGTTTGCTGCAAAGGGTGATGCTCAATTGAATCCTGCTGACCGTGCCAAGAAAGTAGAGGATATGATGAAGAAACTGTGGGGAGACAGGTGAGTGACCTCGGGTCCTGGTCTTGGTAGTGCTTTTGAGGTGTTTCAAGCTTGCTTCTCTTCAATCTAGTACTGTTTAAGCAAGAGAGATGACTACAGCTTGAAACTTTTTTTTTTTGGTTGGGACACTGACTCCATAATGCACACTAGCCTGCTCTGTTCTGCTCTTCGGAGGAGTGAGGCTTGAACCTATGGACTGAGAATAACAAAGTATTAAATTTCAAGCCTTTGGGTGCTACTTCTGATGGTGACAGGGTGGTGTAAGACATTCTCATGTGGGCTGTTGGTGCTATGAATGGCTTCCAATCAAATCCCAAGCAGGCCCATGTTAGAAGTTGAATATGGTGGGTATAGTCAGATCTGTCAGCCTCCTGCAAGCAGGTGACCAATGGAGAAATGCATCCCCCATATTGGAAGACTCGGCATTATTCTCTGAGCAGGACCTTGCCTTAGTGAACTTTAATCCTGAGATGAGCAGACTGCAATGCTCGTAGGCAAATGTGCACCACCCTAACTTCTCGGTTTGACCTCTTTATTTTTTTTTTCCTAGATATTTTGATCCTGCTACTGGCAAGTTCAGCAAATCTGCCACCAGCCCTGATGGAAAGAAACTGCCCAGAACTTTCTGCCAACTGATCCTAGACCCCATCTTCAAGGTATCTACCTTTTGGGCCTAGCCTTCCATAACAGTGGGGGTGCACTGTGCCTCTGTTCTCCAGAGACAGCAAGTGTGTGCGTGATGATGAAAAATTTCTTCACTTTGACCTGACTTGTTAGTTTGAAGAAATTGCATATCTGACACAAGCTCGGCTCCCCTGTGCAGCAGAAGCTGCAAGTTCCTCCTTTCCAAAAGTGGATCTGTCTGACTTTCAATTGCCTTGTAACTGATGGATACCAGTGCTGCTATGAATGCAATTCAGTTGCCACTTCCTGGCTTTCCTGAAAGCAGCCTTGAGCTGCTTTGTCTGGGTTACTTGATGTATTCCCTCCTAACTTGAAACTCTCTTGCTTTAGGTTTTTGATGCAATCATGAACTTCAAGAAAGAGGAGACAGCTAAACTGATTGAGAAACTAGACATCAAGCTGGATAGTGAGGATAAGGACAAGGAGGGCAAACCCCTGCTGAAGGTAAGAACTGATCTGAGGCCTCAAACAGGGCCTGGCAATTAGCTTGGTCATAATGTTCTGTTCATTTAATCTTATTACACTGTGACAATACTCCAGCATGGAAGGACTGCTTAAATTTGCATGAGATACTATTATGGAGGGGAGGGGGGTATACGTGGACTTACTGGGGCTTTGAACTCTGTTTCATCAGGCTGTGATGAGGCGCTGGCTACCTGCTGGAGAAGCTCTACTGCAGATGATCACCATTCACCTCCCATCCCCTGTTACAGCTCAGAAATACCGCTGTGAGCTGCTATACGAGGGACCCCCTGATGACGAGGCTGCCATGGGTATGATGAACTATATCACTTTGCTCAAATGTATTGGAGTTCTTCAACAGTGGGTCCCAACCATTCTGGCAGATGTGCCACCTACTGGCCTGGCATCCCTGAGTGCCACTCCCTTTCCCTTACCTGATCTGCTGCACTATTTTGCTCGCTGCTGTATCTGCCCCTGTGCTGCCTGTCCTCTCTTCAACCTGCCGTGTGGCACCTGTGCCACTGCTTGGCCACCCCTGCTCTCTAATCTTGAACCAGTTCTGTGTTGTGGCAATACAGCAGGACTAAAGCTGTAGATTCCTACATCTGCAGCATTGCCAGTGTGGATCTGATAAGCTTGTTAGTAGTTCTTGCTCCTGAGTACTTGGGTTAGCCTGAGCAGACAAGGTGGTCACCACCTAGATAACCTCAGCCTAGATTTTTAATGTGTGATTTGTGTGATGCGCAGTTTCTTTCTTCCTTGCCAGCTGGGCTAACCAACAATGTGGAGATTAGCCTGTGTAGTGCCCATGTCTCAGAATACAGGACCCGATCGTTCACCCTAGTGTTTTTAGTGTTCCTTTGCTTTGGCAAACAGTTCAACACTGTCTGGCTCCATTTTCCAGGTATTAAGAACTGTGACCCCAAAGGCCCCTTGATGATGTACATCTCTAAAATGGTGCCAACCTCTGACAAGGGCCGCTTCTATGCTTTTGGGCGTGTCTTCTCTGGTCTCGTCTCTACTGGCTTGAAAGTCAGAATCATGGGACCAAACTATACACCTGGCAAGAAGGAAGACCTGTACTTGAAGCCAATCCAAAGGTCAGTACCAGCCAGACTTGGGCACAGCTGGTGTGCATGGCTTGTGTTTTTGGAAACTAACTATAGAACTATAACAACACTACTCTGCTAAAGGGTGAAATGCTCACTCCTGCAGTTCTAGCATTGCGAGAGGTGCTTTTCATTACCTGGGGTAGAATGAAAGGCAACATTCAGCTATCTGCCCACCTCCCAACTTGTCTAGACGAGTCAAGCCCAGGTGCTTACCTTTATAGCTTGGTCACTGCTAAGCTGGATCCACCTCCCCCCATTCCAGAGTAGAGCTCTCATTTAAATAAAACAGGAAAAAACCCCTCTCCCCGTGGCATTACTCATTGCTGCTTGTAACGCAGGACCATTCTGATGATGGGCCGCTACGTTGAACCCATTGAGGATGTGCCTTGTGGTAATATTGTTGGTCTGGTTGGTGTTGACCAGTTCCTGGTGAAGACTGGAACAATCACCACCTTTGAGCATGCTCACAACATGAGAGTGATGAAGTTCAGTGTCAGTCCTGTGGTGCGTGTGGCTGTTGAAGCAAAGAACCCAGCTGACCTGCCCAAGCTAGTGGAAGGGCTGAAACGTTTGGCCAAGTCTGACCCTATGGTGCAAGTAAGTGTCTGAAACATCCCTTGAAATACCAGTTGCCAGGCAGAGCTCAAGTGGCCACTCAAGTGTTTCTCCCAACTCCCTGTCCTAAAAAAGGAGCAGTGTGCTCTCCTTGGGCCTGGAGGCATGATAACTGACTATAGTAGAAATGAGAGCCAAAACTTGCAGCATATTGTGGAAACAGCAGGGGTTGGGAGTTACCTGCATGTAGTTTTGAGGGGGAACTGCCATCCTTCTTTCGGTGCAAGTTGGCCAGAATGAAGTTGAACACAGCTGAAATCTGTAGCCTGTAGAGGTATGGAAGGATTCCTGGAGATAAAGCTGAGACTTTTTTTTATACCCAGGTGCAACTCCTTTTAGCATATGCTATGGTGACTCCCTTCTTTGTGATGCAGCATGCCCAAGGTCCCCCATGGCACTTTACTGGCATCTTGGAGCTTGCTGGTCATAAATTAAATGCTATTAACTTGGCAAATAAAATGTTGACATGCCTCGCTAGCCAACTGCTTCTTGCAGTTAGATTAGTTTTAAAGGACCACTTGCTGCCTGTGATCTTTCAGCTAGCAATATCTGAAATATAAGTGAGTGGTGCAGAAGCTGGGGGTGGTATTCTAGTAGGATGTTCCTCCATCTGTATAATTGCTTTTTGCTTTCAGTGCATCATTGAGGAGTCTGGCGAGCACATCATAGCTGGTGCAGGGGAGCTGCATTTGGAGATCTGCCTGAAGGATCTGGAAGAGGACCATGCATGCATTCCAATTAAGGTAAACCTCTGCTTTCTGTCATCCTCTAAAAGCCTGGAAGAACTGAGCTTATTGAATGAAGTGGCTGCAGATCTATTCGGCCTGTAAGCTTCTGGACTGATGGAAACATACAGGACTGCCCGCCTATGTAGCTCTCTTGACAATAGCTTGGTGCGCAAGCAAAATCCAGGAAGTGGCAGCTGTATGCAGAATACTGCAGCTCCTCTACACCCTGGCTATAGGCAGGCTGATTGAGTACAGGCCTGACTAGCTCTAATTTGCCATTTGACATCTTAACTCTGCCTTCGTGTGACTTGGGAGGTTTCTGGGCATCATTCCTCAGTGGGTGGTGTGAAACCCTCCTAGAAAAAAGATGGCTGTTAAAGCTTTAGCCAGTAAACTAGTTGAATATTGGTCATTACCAGGCTTGACTTTAGTGAAAGTGGCAAGCAAACCTTTGGCTGGATATTGAGCACTCGAAAGTATAATAGCCACGATGTGGCTACTGTCTTAAGGCCCCTGGAGACACTGTCTGATTCTTCTGCAGAAATCTGACCCTGTGGTGTCTTACCGTGAGACGGTCAGTGAGGAATCCAACGTGATGTGCCTTTCCAAGTCCCCCAACAAACACAACAGGCTGTACATGAAGGCCCGCCCCTTCCCAGACGGTTTGGCTGAGGACATTGACAAAGGTGATGTTGCTGCCCGCCAGGAGTTGAAGCAGCGTGCTCGCTACTTAGCTGAGAAGTATGAGTGGGATGTTAGTGAAGCCCGTAAAATCTGGTGCTTTGGTCCTGATGGCACTGGTCCCAACATCCTGACTGACATCACCAAAGGAGTGCAGTACCTGAATGAAATCAAGGACAGTGTTGTGGCTGGCTTCCAGTGGGCAACTAAAGAGGTAAGCAATGTGCAAGTGCCAGTTGCTGTTCCACAAGTCCAAGGTAGGAGTTGGCTGTGTGCTAGTGCAGATTCTAGTTGGATTGCAGTGCCATTGAATGCCAACTAGCACCTGCTAAAACTTGCCTTTTTTAATCTCTGAGGATGTGGGCCTACCATACCAACAATAATAAACTTTTTTATACTGTCTTGGTCTGGAAGTAATGCTCGCTGAGTGCCTGGCCAGAACTTGACCATCTGTGACTTTCAACAATTAGTGATTGATTGTCAGCTTCCATAGCATAGCACATCCCAGTTAAAGAACTTGTCTAGAGGTGTCTTCCTCTAGGGCCTGCTTGCTTGTGATGGCATATGGGATGGGAGCTACAGAAAGGCATAACTTTGAGCTGCTTACTGATGCTTCTGCTCTGTTCTTCCAGGGAGCTCTGTGTGAGGAGAACATGCGTGGAATTCGTTTTGATGTGCATGATGTGACCCTGCACGCTGATGCCATCCACCGTGGTGGTGGGCAGATAATCCCTACTGCCAGGAGGTGCCTCTATGCCTGTGTGCTTACTGCACAGCCAAGACTCATGGAGCCCATCTATCTTGTAGAAATCCAGGTATGTGGACTCTGCTTGGTTGTAGTTATGGAGGAGTCAGGCTTAAGCTCAAAGGTATTGAGAGGTGAAAGCGGGAACTGGCAGTTCTGTAATCCATGTCTCTTGCTATTCCAGTGCCCAGAGCAAGTAGTTGGTGGCATCTATGGTGTCCTGAACAGGAAGCGTGGCCATGTCTTTGAGGAGTCCCAGGTGGCTGGTACTCCCATGTTTGTTGTCAAGGCCTACTTGCCTGTCAACGAGTCTTTTGGTAAGTGAGCTTGGGCTTCTGGAGCTCTGTTCCTCCACAAGGTGTCCTTGAGGGATAAGCTTGAGTAAACCTCTAGCCGTCCTATTCCATCCTGGGTGTTTGAATGCTATTGTCTAAACACCTACCCATCCTTTTTCCTCCATAGGCTTCACAGCTGACTTGAGATCCAACACAGGTGGCCAGGCCTTCCCCCAGTGCGTGTTTGACCATTGGCAGATCCTGCCTGGGGACCCATTTGACAGCACCAGCCGTCCCTGCCAAGTTGTAGCTGAGACCCGCAAACGCAAAGGGCTGAAAGAAGGCATTCCAGCACTGGACAACTTCCTGGACAAATTGTAAAAGATTCCCCACCAACATCGGCTCAAAGTCACTATTGTTGGACTCTGAATAAACCTAACTAGTGTAACATCAATGCAGCAGGCAAATGGTAGACTGCAGTGACCATCTTTTTGCATTAACACCTAATTGGTTTCATAGCAATTTGAGACTTTCAAAGGGAAAAAAAAACCTCATTGATATTCAGCCTTATAGGTTTCTGTGTTGAACATGATGCATTGGGGTCCCACTCGGTGCCATTGTAACTTAAAACATTTCCACTTAATGCAACTAGAGTTGCCTGGCTCCATATTTATTTGACACAATGAAGGAAGCAGCTCTGTTTTCCTTCCTGCAGGGGTTATTTGGCAAAAAGCAGGGTGGTATGGTTGTAGTGGGGGGGGAAAGGGGGTAGCACTTGGCTCTAACCTCTCCAAGGGGATCACTCAATGCCCAACAGATTGCAAGCCAAGCGGGACAAGTGCATTAAGAGGGTTTGCTTGGGTTAATGGCCTGTAGTGGGTTTGTTCAGGGGAGGGGGATATGGAAGGGAATTTCTAGTTGGGCAGAAACTAGAAGGCAGGAAGCTCTTGTGCAGTGTGATTGTCATCATGAACATCAACAAGTGTATTAGTGCCACTGGAATAATAAATTTGATATGGTGACAAATATTTGCATGGACTCTCAGTATCACTTCAATAGCTTTAAAGTTGCTGAACTTAAATTTGATTCTACCTGCTTGTCTTTATTAGTAGCTGTTCCAGAGTGTGAGGTGGTATGAGCTGGGCCCATTCTCTTTTAGTTTAGAGATGTCAACTGAGAAGTTGAAGGGAGGATCCAGGACATGGAGGTCAGATTAGCCTCTGCAGGCACATTTTTTTGGTAGAGAAGTCTGCCAGAGATTGTGCTAGAAACTGCCTAGCTGTGGGCCTGAGGCTGGTTCTCTCCATCTCTTTAGAAAAGAGTATTTAAAAATGACCTTGTAATCGGGACTAAAATAGCAAATATTCCTACTGTACTTCAATGCAAGGCTGGCTAACTAGCTACTGTCCTCAGTCTAACAAGGTCAACTTTTAAAGCTAGATGCTAAACTGGATTTCTGAGTTTGTATGAAGTGGGCTTTAAGTACATCTTGTGATGGAGCAGCTGCAGTGGTAGTAAGATGGGCTGGGACTTGTGTGGTCAAGACTTGCATTCCCAGTGTGCCATGAGCAGTCTAGGGACTCTGTCCACCACCACTTCCAGTTTACTGAGTCCTGCCCTACAGCGCTCTAGTCCTCTGATATATTTAGATACAAGCTCACATATGCTGTAAGATGACCCAGTCTTCCCGGAGCAAAGGCCTTGCATTGACCTAAATCAAAGGGGAGGCAGGCTACCAACTCTACCCATGTCATCCTCCATAACAATGGAACTCGTACATGCTAGGTGGCAGTGATGAGCCCGTTCCTAAATGCATTTTTAACTTGGACTCACTTGTCCAGTTAGGTTGCAATCACACTTAATCTCTTGGGGGTGAGGACAAGAGCACAAACAGATTAGGGCCTGAGGTGCAAGATCTCTCAAACTGAATTACAGATTCATGCCCACTTGCTCTGAGTCTGAGATCACTTAAATGTGAGAGAAATGGGGAAGTATGCTACCAGCTTATGCTAATGATGCCCTCTGCTGCACATTCTGATCTTGCTAGATAGGAAATGTAATGTGAAGGCTACTGGCTAGTGTTAAGAATTTGAAATGTCTGGCTTCCACTGAAGCCCTTGAGTTGCCCTCAGTGAAATCTGAGGGGGAAGGATGGAATTCAGAGTGTGATTGTTGTTGTTGTTGATCTTGTTCAGTAACCAGAGAGATGCATAGATGTGATTCAATTGCTTTGTGTTCTCCAGTATAGAAAGCAATTTACTGAGTGGGTGGATGTAGGTATGGGTGGCATTGCAGCAGAAGTATTGCAAATATCTTGATAGGATTGCTTAAATTAGGCAAGTGCCTTGGAAGGAGGCCAGCCTGTTGCTTCTGAGAGAAAAGAGGAGAGTCATTTTCAGGAAAATGGCTGCTCTGGTGACTAAGGCTTGGCTCAGTTCAGGGGATCAAGGCTTCTGGTAGTTAGATAAATACTGTTCTGCTCAAATGCTACTGTCACTGGAGCAGCCAGCAATGGCAGGTTGGGCAGATGATATCCGTGCTTCACTTGTGGACCATTTCATAGAGTCATAAGCGTAGTGGGGCTGGAAGAAAACACCAGAGGTCATCTCAACCTCTCTTGTACCAGGACCCAGTTGTAAACGTTGGCTAGTCCCAAACCAGTGCCCCTCACTCCTCCCCTGCTGCCCCAGCCCTCCGGTGGGTATGTGGGACACAGCAGCCCCTCGGAGCCTGGAGCTCTGCCAGCCTTCAAGGGAAAAGCCCTGGTTTCCCATGGTTTTTCTCCTTTAAAGGAGGATCCATTCTTTTTAAAGTGTGTGAATCCTTTTTTAAAGTCTGTTCCTCACCCTTTCACATATTCGTGTGACCCACTCTTGTGTTGTGATCCATGGGCTCTATGCCACGATGTATCCAACCCCTACGGGAGGCAGGGTCATCCCTGGCCGATCGCTTCATCCCTTGAGCTCTGTCTCTGATACCATCCACCCTGACACCCTAACACCCAGACCTAACACCCAGGCAGCCACCAGTGAAGCAGGGGAGGCTGGTGTTCAAACTGGGGTTTTTTTGGCGGTGGCATTCAGTAACCAGAGAGATGGGTGGCCGGGGTTTAATTGCTAGGCGTCCTCCAGGATAGAAAGTCATGTAGCGATGGGTGGTGTTGCAGCAGAAGCATTGCAAATACCTTGCTGGCATTGCTTAAATTAGGCAACCCCCCACCCTCGCCTGCAGCCGTCTGACCCTGGGGTTAAATTCCTGGCTGATCCCAAATGGGGCACCAGTCCCTCTCTTGGGGACGCTGGCTGCAGGCCTCCATGCAGCATAAAGACCGGGTGGCTCCGGAGGGAGCGTTGCCTTGTCCTTAGCTGGGGAGGCAGGGCCGCAGGAAACAGGGGGCCCTGAAAACGGCAAATCAGTCTTCTGGTTCCCTGGACGTGGCTCGCCCGCACCAGTGTTGCACAAGCAGCAGTGAGCTGCCTGCACCATTATAGGCCACTTTGCACATTTTCGAACGTGAGGGGCAC